TGCCCTGGAGTTTACAATTGACATCGTAATTTATAACAACCCAATTCAGATTAATACTAACTTAATTTTAGTAATATACAAAACTTTGCTTCTATATAACTCCATTCCCTTCCTCCTCCTTTGTTACTGTCATATAAAGGACATCTTTATACAAGTGTACCTGCCAACACATATATATTTCCTTTTGCATTATGCAATTGTCTTTTAAAGGAGATAAGAGAGAAAAGGTTACCAAAAAAGTCTATTTGTACTACCTTTTATGTTTACCTTGGTAATTATCTTTTTTTTTGAGTCAGAGTCTCACTCCGTCGCCCAGGCTGGAGTGCAGCGGCCTGCTTATGGCCGCCACAGCCTTGACCTGCTGGGCTCAAGTGATCCTTTTGCCTCAGCCTTCCAAGTAGCTGGAACTATAGGCATGTGCCACCATACCCAGCTAATTTGTTGATATATTGTAGAGACGAGGTCTCGACATGTTGCCCAGACTGGTCTTGAACCCGTGGGCTCAGGCAATCCTCCTGCTTCCACCTCCCAAAAAGCTGAGATTACAGGCATGAGCCACCGCACCTGGCTGGAAGTTATCTTTACTGTGCTCTTTATTTTATTTTATTTTTTGAGTTGGAGTCTCACTCCGTCGCCCAGGCTGGAGGGCAGTGGCATGCTCACAACCACCCCAGCGTCGACCCACTGAGCGACTCTGGTGAGCCTTCCGCCTCAGCCTTCCAAGTAACTAGAACTACAGGTGGACGCTACTATGCCCAGCTAATTTTTGATTTATTGTAGAGATAAGGTCTCGTCAAGTTGCCCAGACTGGCTTCTTCTCTGTTTCTTTTTTTTTAGAAAGCTGGATTTATTGAGAGGACAGAAAAGCTCCCACAGTGGGAGGGGACCCAATGGGGTTGGCCTCTTCTCTAGTTTCCAGACGTGGCATTGAGCTCTGTTCATGTGGGTTCAAGTCACTCTCTGGTGTCCTTTCACTTCAGTCTGAAGGGCTCTTTTTAGTGCTTTTCAAAGGGCAGGTCTTTCAGCAACAAAGTCTGTTTCTTTTTTTTTACTTTTATTTTATGCATGTGGGATACAATTGAGGATTAGGTATACAAGTGGTTGTTGGTCAGGTAAAGTTTGGGCCTCCCTTTGCCCCCCACTTTGCCTGGTTTGAGATCAGATACCCTTATTCATATTGTGTGTCCCTTGCCACTAACACTCAGTTTCCTTATATCTGGGAATGTGTTAATTTCTCCTTTATTTTTGGAGGATAGTTTTACTGGGTATAGAATTATTATTTGACAGAGGTTTGTTTGTTTCAATGCCTTGGCCTCCATGGTTTCTGATGAAAAATCAGTTGTCCATCTTATTGATGATTCCTTGTATAGGATGAGTCACTTTTCCCTTGTTGTTTTCAAGAACCTCTCTGGCTTTGATTTATGATGTGTCTATGTGTAGATATCTTTGAGCTTATCCTACTTGAGTTTCTGGATGTGTAGTATTTTTTTTAATTGAAATGGGAAGTCAGCCATTATTTCTTCAAATATTCTTTCTGCCCCTTTCTCTTCTCTCCTTTATGTATATGTTGGTATGCTCGGTTGTGTCCCACAGGTCTCTGAGGCTCCCTTCATTTCTCTTCACTCTCTTTTCCTTCTTTTCCTTGGACTGAATAATCTCAGATGACTCATCTTAAAGTTTAGCAGTTCTATCTGCTCAGATATGCAATTGAGCTTCTCTACTAAATTTTGTTTCAGTTACTGTATTTTTTCTTTTCTTTTCTTTTCTTTGAGTTGGAGTCTCACTCTGTCGCCCAGACTGGAGCGCAATGGCATGCTCCTGGCCACCTCAGCCTCAACCTGCTGGGCTCCAACGATTCTTCCACCTCAGCCTTCCAAGGAGCCGGAACTACAGGCGCACGCTACCATGGCCCAGCTAATTTTTTATTTATTGTAACTTGCCAAGTTGCCTGGGTGGGTCTCAAACCCGCGGGCTCAGGCAGTCCACTTGCCTCAGCCTCCCAAGGTGCTGGGATTACAGGCTGAGCCACCGAGCCTGGCCGGTTACTGTATTTATTCAACTCCATAAAAATTTTTTTTTTATTTTGTTCCTCCTTTTTAAAATAACCTATATATTTTTATTGTTAGTCTTTATTGGGTCAGATATCATTACCATGCTTGTCTTTAGTTCTTTAGATGTGATGCCCTTTGTTCTTTGACCACATTTATTACAGCTGACTACAGTATTTGTCTAGTAAGTCCAACATTTGGTATCCTTGAAGACTGCCTCTACTTATTGCTTTTTATTCCAGTGTATGAGCCATATTTCTTGTTTCTTTGCATGCTTTGTGATTTTCATTGTTGTTGAAAACTGGACTTTTTGTATGATATAATGTGGCAACTTTGAAAATCAGATTCTTACGCCTCCCAGGATTTGTTTTTCTTGTTATTTATTGTAGCTGTTTTGTTGATGAATTTTTTTTTTTTTTTGAGTTGGAGTCTCACTCTGTCACCCAGACTGGAGTGCAGTGGCATGTTCCCGGCCACTGCAGCCTCGATCTGCTGGGCTCCAGCGATCCTTCCACCTCAGCCTTCCAAGGAGCTGGAATTACAGGAGCGCACTACCATGCCCAGCTAATTTTTTTGATTTATGGTAGAGATGAGGTCTCGCCAAGTTGCCCAGGCAGGTCTCGAACCTGCGGGCTCAGGCAGTCCACTCACCTCAGCTTCCCAAAGCACGGAATCACAAGCTGAGCCACCGAGCCTGGCTCTTAGTGAATTTTTAAAACTGGTACTATAAAATCTATATTATTTGTCATATGACCACTGTGGCCTCTGCTTGGTTAACTTAGTGGCCAGTTTATGATTGAATGAAAATTTCCTTAAATATCTTGGAAGACAATAAATCCCCCAGGCTTCACTGAGGGCCCATGTGCATGTTTGAACCTGCTTTTGCACTCAGCCAACATGTGTCAATTCTGCCTCAATATCCATGCAGAATCTCGAGATCAACCAGAGATGAAAGTTTGGGACTTTCTCCTGGCTTTCCTGAGCATGACACACCTTTGGGCCTGCACACAGCTCTCCTCATGCACGGAGGCTTCTCGGATCCCAGGATCACATAGGAGCTATTCAAAGCCCTGTGGACAGTTCATGTTCCAACTTCTTCCCTAAGATCTCTGGTGCACCTATGGCTTGTCCTGCCTGTCACCACCACCTCAGGAAGTGGCAACATTAATCACCTGCCTGCAATTTGTTCTGATGGAGAGACTTTTCTGTACTGGACAAATTCTGAATCTAGTCAAATACAGCCAATCTTGCAAGAGAGATCTTTCAGGGACCCCCCAGACAGGTTACATGATGACAGTTCTTTGGGCATGAGACTTTAAAGGAGCTCCAACCCAGTCTGTTTTCTCTCTCGGCTGCCAGGCTACTAGTTTCCATCAGGAATACAGGATGTCATTTTTCAAGGCTACCACAAAAAAACGGGAGACTATGCGATCTTAACGAGGGCAAGTTAAAATGTTGCAAAACTTACTGTTCTTACCAAGATTCTGAACAAGTAGATTCTGACAATTTTTGCCAGTTTCTCACTGCTATTATGGAGGAGATCATTTTGGGAGGTCCTTACGCTATCATTTTTGCCGACGGCACGGCTAGAAAATAACTGTTAATCCCTGGTGAGATGAGAAGTAACCTGTCCACATTGACTCTGGGTGTTCCTACCTACCCTCCACCCCTAGGTCTGGAGTAGCCAGACACCAACCCCATGACGACACTTGGGCCCATCTTGACCCTGGGCCTAAGGGTTCCCCAACCTCCTACCTCCACATGCTTTTTTGCTTTCCCGCCTTCCTTCATGGGTGGGAGCCCAGATGGCTGAGAAGCTGGTCATCAGAAACTCTGTATCAGCTGCCTCCTGGCTTCTGAGGCCTGATCTCCCTCCCAGACCTGCTGCCTCCTCCCGGCAGGGGGGGCAGATTAGGGCCATGGCTCCTGTAAATCTCCCTGCCAAATTATCTGGGTGCCAGAGCTCTAAAGGACCGACGCAGAGCCTCTTGGCCATGATTTATTCAGGAGCAGTGCCTCACTCATTATTCATGGTCTCTTTCAGTGGTGTTCATGCCAGCTCAGGCCAGCCAAGCTCTGGGGCTCTGCTGCTGTGAGAAGGGCCCCTCTGGGGGCACTGGGACCCAGCAGGACCCACCCTTGAGCACTGCTTTGTCCACGCAGAGCAGGCTTATCTACGAAAACACATTTCTGGGCTAGGCCAGTTCAGGGGCAAATGACTGGGACTTAGGGAAATATTCAGTCAAAACCTGTGAACTGAGTTCTTGGTTATTTTGCAAAACCAGCTTTCCTAGAAACAGCTCTGAGTAACAGGGTGGGTTCTCAGTGTGGACTCGTAGGAAAATGAAAACAAATTTGATCAGGATGAAGAGCAGATAAGCTTCCTGTCTTTCTTGGTGAAGCACTAGTGACAGATCGCAGTGAGGGGTGAAGGCCTCGGTGAGTTTCTTTCTAACAGAGGCAGCCCAGGTACAGAGGGCAGAAAGGAGCGAATTCATGCAACAGAGAACTGCCCAAATGGGGCCCCTTATGCTGCCTTTCCACGTGCTTTTCCCTGTGGCAGGGACTCGACTCCCCTCTGTGCCTGGCTCACTCCATCTGGGGCTCATCCTCTGTCTCAGCTCCCTGTCGCTTCCTCCAGGAGGCCTTCCCTGACCACAGTCACGTGCTCCCCTGCCGCAAAGCTTTTCTATCCCCAGAGGTTTCCCCAGAACCTGGTTAGCACTCAGCGTGTGGTAGAGGCTCAATGGAATGAATGAGGCTGGCACCTTAGAGCCTCTCCAGGATTCTCTGGGGCTGGCAGGAAAATCCGGCTGGTCTGAACCAAGCCCTGATTCTAAACGTCCACATGCCTGCCACACCGGGAGAAGCCCTGTCCCTCCATCCCCTGCCTCTGCCCCAGGGATGGAAGCCCACGCCCCCTTCCGCCCTTTCTGTCTCCATCCCCGCCAGCCTGCTGGGACACGCGGAAGGGCAGCCTGGTGGCGGAGCTGTCTGCCATCGAGTTCAGTCACCGAGACCCCGTGTACAGTACCATCTGGCTGCAGTCAAAGACGGGTACCGAGTGCTTCTCGGCATCCACGGATGGGCAGGTACCGGCTGGCCAGAGACGGGGAGGGGAGGGTCAGGCAGGAGCACAATCAGGCGGGAGCATTTCCATTTGCCTTTTACTTTTAGATGGCTGGTGGGTAATATATGCATGTGCAACCGAGTCCCAAAGGTGCAGAAAGGATGGGTGATGAGCTGCCTTTGGCTCACCTGTCTGCAGCCCCCGCCCACTCCCCGCCCACTCCCACAGCTGTTCCCTGTGTCTACTACCTTCAGAGCTGGCCTCTGCACATGCAAGCAAGCACACGTCTCTCTTCTTCGCTTTTTCCTCTGCACACCTTGCATACCTCTCTGCCCTGGATATTCTGCATTTTGTATGTCTTGAGGACCATTTCATATTTCGTAAAGCGCTGCCCCAAGACTGCTAAAAACTGCATCGTGTGGGTGTACCATCATTGCTGGAAGTGGGACTTCTGGGTTAAAGCAATGTGCTTGTTTAACATTGTAAGATATCGCCTGGAAAAATACAGATGGGCCACTCCTGGAGATTTTGAGGCAGTAGGTCTGGGGTAAGAGCCGGGCATCTGGATGTTATGCAGCTTGCTGGTGTCTCTGATGACCAGCCAGCTTGGGAACTGCGGAGGGCGCAGCAATCGTCGAAGTGTATTTGCTCCCGTGAATTGCTGGGAGACTCCATTCTTTGTGTCCCAGAGGCTGGCTCTGGAAGGTAGGGTCGTGGGTGGAGAAGGCAAAAGTCAGGGAAATTGCAGCACCTCGAGGTCTCAAAGTCACCCCGTCCTCCCGCCAGGTCATGTGGTGGGACATCCGGAAGATCAGCGAGCCCACCGAGGTGGTGATTATGGACATCTCCAAAAAGGAGCAGTTGGAAAATGCCCTGGGGGCCATTTCCCTGGAGTTCGAGTCTACTTTGGTGAGTGTCCCTTGCTGTCCCTTCCCTGAGTTCCACTGCCAGGGCAGCCAGGGCTGATGACAGGCCACGGCTAGTGTATCAGGTGCTGGTGGAACCAGGTGCCAGCCCAGCCTCATTGCAGCTGTCCTTAACCTGTGTGGCTTTCACAGCAGCCTTCCAGCAGGGGGCAGCAGAGCTTCCCAAGGAAGGAAGCCATTGTCATCCCACCGTGTCACCATCGGGCTAGCGGTGGGGCTGAACAGAGAGGGCAATCTTTTGGACAGGTCGGATTCCGGAAAAACCCGGCCTGGTCTCCAGTCCAGACCCTGCTCCTCCCTCGCGTGGGGGCTCTCGGCTGGTCCTCTCCCTTCCCCTGGGTAGAGAAGAGGTATTTGGGGCAGGAATGAGATCAAAAGAGGCTCCTTGGAAAACCCGAGCACGGCACGATCACAGTGTGTGGTCCCTGAGAAGGACCGATAGAGACGTAGCAAAACTGGGCAGTCCTGCCCATGGGAAGGAAGCTTCTCAAAGCGGCACAGGAAGACTTCCTCTCTAAAGTAAGACAAACAACACAGATTATCGAGTTCACGGGTTCTTTTCCAGATGGCTTTTCGGCCTGGGCGAGTTTCTGGCTCATGCTTCCCTGAAGCCCAGGCCTGGTTCCCTCCTGGAGGTGTCGTTTGTTTGCCTCAGGGTCATGTGACATCATTCCTAGAACCAGGGGAGGCTCTGGCCTCCCTTCTGCTTCGCGGCCCTCACCCAAGGCTAGGGGATGGATGCCGGTGGAATGAGAAGACAATTGAACACCCCCACCCCCAGCCCCGCCAAAAGAGGACAAGGCACTGGCATGGAGGTTAGGGCGGGAAGGGCTCAGGAAACCATTCTGTCCTAGAAGCAGGGATTTCTAGGCCAAGCTCCAGATGTAATTACCACGCCACTTTGAGTCCCACTCCTTCATGCCTGGCCCTTGTGAAAACTTGCTGCGTGCTGGACACTGGCAGCCTTACGTGGTGAGCCGGTGTGCCCACCCATGACTGTCCTGTGAGATAATATTATAATGTTATCTCCCAGATAAACATGGGGAGTCTTAGTGAGGCTATGTTTGAGCCCTAGTCCATGGTGAAGCTGGCCCTCAAGCCAGGGCTCCAACTTTGAGCCCAGACTGTCCACCCCACCCCACCCCACCCCACCATGAAGTCTGAGGCCAGAGGCTGCTGGGCCATTCGGATCTCAGTGGCCTTTCTCTCTGATTGGCTTACCAGAGCCCTGCCATCTACTTGATTACTTCCTTCTCTGTACGTCTCCAGCTTGGTCCTTTCATTTTCCTTTGATACCTAACTTGTAGCCCAGTTTTTGTTTTTGTTTTAGAAGTGAGATTTCACTATGTTGTCCAGGCTTGCCTTGAACCCCTGGCCTCAAGCAACCCTTCGACCTCAGCCTCAGGAGCTGAGGCTACAAGAGCAAGTCACTGCATCTGGGTTATGGTAAAAAACACATACCATAAAATTTGCCAGCCGGGCTCGGTGGCTCAGCCTGTAACCCCGCGCCTTTGGGAGGCTGAGGTGAGTGGATTGCCTGAGCCCGCGGGTTCGAGACCTGCCTGGGCAGCAAGACCTCATCTCTACAATAAATCGAAAAACTAGCCGGGCGTGGTAGCGCACGCCTGTAATTCCGGCTACTCGGAAGGCTGAGGCGGAAGGACAGAACAGAGCAGAACAAGCCTGCTCGCCTGCAGGCATTCACAGACCAGCGGGGAGACACACCACGTCATCGGGGACGGCCAGGGGGCTTCCTGAGTGCTGGTTAGCCACCTGCTCTGAGTTCTCAGGGATACCTAACCTGGACGATGCCACAGCTGATGGCACGGTGATGGCAGACTCCGCCCATCTTCTGAGTGATCTGGGCCACACAGTACCCCCTCTCTGGGCCCTGTTTACTCTCTCCATAAACCAACATTCAGGATCTTTATGGTTAAATGCTCAGTGGACCTGTTGACACCCTATACAGAGGCCAGTGATGACCCTCCTGGAACTGGGAGAGTTAATGATGGCTTCACAATGCACAGGGCATTCCACAAAGGGCGCGAGCAGCTTCCACAAAGGGCACGATCTGCTGAAGCCGGGGTTGTGGGGGCAGCTCCCGGGAGGGCTAGGGCATAGCCGGGCAGTGGCTGCCCAAGGACCTTCCCAGCACCTGCACACCCAAGCCCACTAAGCCCAGAGCTGGCCGGGCTCGGTGGCTCAGCCTGTCATCCCAGCACTTTGGGAGGTTGAGGCGAGTGGATTGCCTGAGCCCGTGGGTTTGAGACCAGCATGGGCAACATGGCAAGACTTCATCTCTACAATAAATCAAAAATTAGTGGTAGCACGTGCCTGTAGTTCCGGCTACTTGGAAGGCTGAAGCGGAAGGATCGCCGGAACCCGGCTTGCTGAGTGTGCCACTGCACTCCAGCCTGGGCGACAGAGTGAGACCCCAACTCAAAAAAAAAAGCCCAGAGCTGCCATGTCACGGAACTTTCTCCTCCGGTGTCTTCCCCTCCACAGCCGACCAAGTTCATGGTGGGCACCGAGCAGGGCATCGTCATCTCCTGCAACCGCAAGGCCAAGACGTCAGCCGAGAAGATCGTGTGCACCTTCTCCGGCCACCATGGCCCCATCTACGCCCTCCAGAGAAACCCCTTCTACCCGAAGAACTTCCTGACCGTCGGCGACTGGACAGCCCGCATCTGGTCGGAAGACAGCCGGGAGTCGTCCATCATGTGGACCAAGTAGGAGGGAGGCTGGGGACTGGGGGGGCCGGGGGGTGGGATGGGGTCGAAGGTGCCCGCTGGGCCAGGAGTGCCCCGAGCCTCCACACGTCCGCCCTCCACAAACACCCAAACCCGTGTTGGCAAGGGACTTGATCCTGCCACTTCACAGAGGAACGGGCGGCAAACGCCTGGGTTACTGACGGCCGTGGCTGAATTTTCATTTTCACAGTCGTCAATACACCCTGGAAGCGGCAGCCCCGTTCCTCCCCTCAGTTCGGTGTTCGTGTTAGGGACCGGGGCCACGGGCAGGCAGAGCCACTTGCGCCGGGTCTCTCAGCTTGCGAGGGGCCCAGCCGGGGCGTGAGCCCAGGAAGCTTGGCTGGGGAATCTGGGAACCTGCCCAGCTCAGGCCCCAAGGCTCAGAGGACGGGAACAGAGGGGGAGCATGAGACAGAGTTGTGAACACAGCAGTCAGACTTCCATGTCTCCCACCACTCTCCCAAAGGCCCACTTGTCTTTCCAAAGGCGCCCTTCCTTCTCTTCCCACGCCCTCACCTACCCCTTCGAGTTGCCGTGAGCACTCGCGTGTGCATGCGCGTTGCCTGCGTGGATAAACTGCTTTTTCTCTTGCTAAAAGAACAGCGGCTTCCCAGGGTTCCTCTAGCGCATGAAATCAGACTCCTGTCATGTTGTGCCACCACTGACCGCATGGGCATCGTTGGTTCTAGCACTTCTCTGGTTGCTGTGGAATCTCCTGGGAGGAGTTTTTCTTTTTTTTTTTTTTTTTTTTTGAGTCAAAGTCTCACTCTGTTGCCCAGGCTGGAGTGCAGCAAGACACTCACAGCCACCGCAGCCTCGACCAGCTGGGTTTAGGCGATCCTTCCACCTCAGCCTTCCAAGTAGCTGGAACTACAGGTGTGTGCCACCACGCCTGGCTAATTTTTCCTGATTTATTGTGGAGATGAAATCTCACCAAGTTGCCCAGGCTGGTCTCGAGCTCCCGGGCTCAGGCAATCCTCTCGCCTCAGCCTCCCAAATGCTGGGATTACAGGCGTGAGCCACCACACCTGGCAGGAGTTATCTTTTTATTTATTTTATTTTTATTTGTTTTTTTTTTTTGAGTTGGAGTCTTACTCTGTCGCCCAGACTGGTGTGCAGTGGCCGCTCCCGGCCACCGCAGCCTCGACTTGCTGGGTTCCAGTGATCCTTCCGCCTCAGCCTTCCAAGTAGCCGGAATTACAGGCATGCGCTACCACGCCCGGCTGATTTTTTTTATTTATTGTAGAGATGAGGTCTTGCCAAGCTGCCCAGGCGGGTCTCGAACCCGTGGGCTCAGGCCATCCACTCACCTCAGCCTCCCAAAGGCGCGGGATTACAGGCTGAGCCACCAAGCCCGGCTGGAGTCATCTTTTTAAATGCAGACTCCCAGGCCCGGCCCTGGAGGTGCTAACATAGGATCTTGGATTTAGCCCAGGAGTGCTCCTGCAACTCAGTCAGTCCTTGCTTTGGGAGCAGAAATCTTGTTCTGTCTCCTCATTCTGTAGGGGCAGGCATGGAGGCTTGGAAGAGCAGGGCATTGCTCCAACCTCCACTGTGCCCCTTGCCATGGGTCTGGGCAGATGTGGAGTCCCTCACGGGCTTCTGGAGCCTTCCCTGCACTCTGGGTTCTTCAGGCTCCCAGACCACCTGCTGAAGGGGAGGCGATGGCCGGGTGCCCAAGCACATCACCGTGAGCCTTCCGCAGGGTGGGCTCCTACAGGGACTGGGGGGCCGGTATCCTCTAGCTCCTGAGTCTCCCTTGCTCTCTTCCTGCATAGAGTTGAACAGATTTAGCAAAGAAAAATGCAGGACGCCCAGTTAAATTAGAATTTCCGAAACAACAACAAATGATTTTTGTTAGCAGGGGGACCAAAAAAAAAAAAAAAAACCGGAATTTATTTATTAAAAATTGTGTATTTATTCTTCCACGTTTAAACTTCAGTCACCTTCAAAGTGCTCTCCGTTTGCTGCAATACACCACCGAGACACTTTTTCTACGGCTCAAAACAGTTTTTGAACTTGTCAATTTTGAGGCCCTTTAGCGCTTCTGCCTTTTTGCTTCGCCCCTTCCACACTGGCAAGATGTTTCCCTTTGAGGACTTTTTACATCCAGAAAAACAAACAAACAGAAAAGCTGCTCAGGGCGAGATTGGATGAATAGGGAGAGTGGGACCTGGGGGTCATGCTGTTTGGGGTCAAAAACTGCTGAACGCTCAGCACAATGTGGGCAGGTGTGCTTGGAAATCGCCCATCAGGAAATGGGCAAACGCGTTGAAAGAATCTCCAGAAAAATTCACTGAAGCCGAACACAGCCTCTCACAACGATGCTGGCTGGTACATTGATGCCAGTAGCTTGCTAGAACACTTACCTAGTGAGCAAAGCCTGTACTACAAGGGACTGACCCTCCAAAAAGATCATTCTGGTTTTTTGTTGTTGTTGTTCGTTCCCCTCTCATATATCTCATGCAATATTTGGGATATACTTATGCTAAAAATTATTCAAGGTGTGTCCAAAATCTCCAGATAGTTTCTTCTGTGTTGATTAGTTCTCTTGCTGTGGCTTAGCTGTCAACACACTCAGCTGCAAAGCCGACTGGGAAATGTCGTCTCTGGCATGGCTACCATGGGCCCAGCTATGACTTTGTCCCTTCGGAGGAAGGGAGAACAGGTTTTGGTGAAAACTTGAAGGTTCCACTGTGTGCACACCTGTGTGTGTGTGTGTGTGTGTGTGTGTGTGTGTGTGT